TAATAATAATCCTTGCATTTGATATAGCGCTTTTCACGTCTTCTCGATGTCCCAAAGCGCTTCACAGAATATACTGTAAAGTGAATTGACTGTATATTTGTGGGCAAAACGCGGCAGCCAATTGCGCACAGCAGCGTCCCACAAACAGTCGTAGTTTGAAGTTACCAAATTATTATCAGATTTTTTTTTCTTGAGGGATTATTATTAGGTGTGTGGAGTAAGGAAAGTTGCCCAAGGTTTGGCCCTGTGTGAATCAAACCCAGGTCTCTCGCTTGAGAGGCGAGTGTTCTAACCACTGAGCTACAGGACTCTACGAAAGGCGCTATATCAAATGCAAAGATTATTATTATTCATTTTAAGGTCCTGAGACTGGCCTTGAAGTTGAACTTCTCTGGAATGTCACCCTAGACTGTGGGCTTGATTCCCAGTTTGGAGCTTGAACCTGGAGAGTGCACACTCCATAACAGACAAGTGGAGATTTCTATATGTATGTTGAGCTTTCAGTAGTTTGGTTTGGGTGCTCTTAAGCATGGTGATGGGTTTCAATGGAAATCAAAGAGCTTCAAGAAAGGACAGCACAGAGGAAAAATACTTTAAGCTACTGGTTCAGAAATCACCTTGTACAATGACACTAATGATAGAAAAATAATAATTTATGTGCATAACCTCTTGTAGAATACAATATAACTACTTCCTTTAAATGCATTGGCTAATCTGAAACCTTTGAATTTAATCATGTGTGAAGTGCCATATCACACCTTAAAGCCCTCTGGATGCTTGTGGGTAACTTACTTTTGCTGACCAGTCCATGTCTGCCAGATTATGTCCTCCTGACTGACATGTGTCAGCATTCCTCTGGGAAGTAATCCTGGAATTTCTGGCTTCCTTCTGGCTTCCCCATTTGTTCAATAGAGAACATTGGCTTGGTCTCTTTTTTGAACATAATATTAGTCATTTTTAGAATTAGCAACATTTTTATCAATTTCATCCATCATTTAACTAACATTCACAATAACATTAGTAACCAATTACATAATAATAATAATCATTATATTTTATATAATAATAATTAATAATAATAAGAATCATTGCATTTAATATAGCGCCATATCACATCTTCAAAACGTCTCAAAGCACTTTGCAGAATCTACTGTAGATCGAATTGACTGTATATTTTGCCTTTCACATCAAGAGAATGTCACAAATCTTGCTGTAAATTGGTGTGACTGTATTTTTGTGAGAGAACATTGCACACAAATGTAGGTATTACGAAATTGCTGCACTCAAGTGAATACATTTTTACTTACTAAAAGTCTACAATCACACCATATATGTTCAACATAAAAAAATTTCAGTGAATCCCGAATAGATAGAATGGAATACAATTGTTCATATGTGAATATCAATTTTGCTTCATATTTGGGGTTTACCATGCAGTTTAAATATAGAGATTGAGGTGTCAGCCTGGCTCAGTTGGTAGCATTCTCGCCTGTGGTTGGTGATTCAAGTCCCACATCAGGACTTTATGAGTTTTTGTCTAATTTGACATTCTAGTGCAGTGGAGGAGCATTTTGTTATCCTAGGAGCTGTCCTTTGCCTTTGGATAATGCATTAAACCAAAGTCCTGGCTCCTATTCACGATTGTTAAAGTTCTCATCTCCTTATGAAAGAGAAGGGAGTTTCTCCTGGTATTGTTGCCAACAATCCCTAAACCTTACAATGCTACTTAGGACAATGATACACAAGTGAACAGATATTATCACACAATATTCCAACAGCTTTGTTAAGATTTAGTAAAATAAATCCTGCTATAACTGACACTATATACTGGAGTTTGCAAGAATATTAAATTATATTCTACATTCTGTCTGTATAAAATCGAAAGAAAATTGAACCACTGAGAGATAATGACCTCAAAAGACAAATTACAGTCAAATTAGAATAAGTGCAATGGGTCCTGGCTTTACTTCCAAATGTACCCAATTAATTATTAAGCTTATTCAATGTAAAGCATTCTTTGGTTCCTGACTTTAGCAGAAAATATTCTATCCACAGGTTGTCCTTGTCAGATACTGCCAGCTGTTCAACACAAACTTATTTGAAAGGTTGAATGTAATGAAGATTTTACACTTGATAATAGTTAAACCGCTCTACATATCATCTTTACTTGTTCAACGTATCTAGATTCATTTGATCAGTTGGTGACAACTGGACTAATTCTGAGATATTTGCCATGAATTAACTGACGTTGTTTCTCTAATTATACCTTGTGCAAGAAAAAGAAGGTTAATGCAATAAGCAAATCTGTTGCCCAAAGGTTCGCATATCAAATATAGAGGCTGGAACTGCTGTACAGACAAAAATTGTTTATAAAGGTTGTCCTAAGGTACATCTGAGATGCTGGCGTCCTCACAGTAGAACCAGAGGACACGGCCTGCAATTGAAGGTGGGGGAAATTCAGAACATATCTGCAGAAACATTACTTCAGTGAGTGAGTAGTAAACCTAAGAAACAGACTCCCTAATGAGATGGTGGAAGCAGAATGTGTTGTTTGTTTGAAGAACAAATGAGATAGATTTCTACTAGAAAATAATATCTCAGGATACAGTATATAGTTTGGTACACGATGTGTCAAACCACTGCCAGGATGGCGGAAGGCAAGCTGGATGGGCCTTGTTCTTCTTTTGCTTAGCAAATTCTTATATTTATAACGATGTTGTAGGTTGCATTCCAAACTGCAGTTTGTCATTTTAGGCAAGCAATGTACTATTGCCACGCCTAATTTATGTATACAATATTAATATAATTAAACTCAATTATTTAAATATTATTAGCATATGGTGTTATAGTATCTTTAATTTGGATATCATCATGGAGTAAGTGTGATTTAATAATTTTCAACTTTCAAATGACAGTAAAATACTTTTTTGGGGATCCTATCAGGTCTTTTATTTTGTTGCAATTGTAGTTGCCATGTAAGCCTTTTATCCAACTGGGTTGAATGAGGAAGGCATGTTAAGGTAGAAACTTTTTAACTGTACATTGAATAATGAGATTACTTGGAGACCTTTAACAACAACAAATTACATTTGTATAGGACAGCCCAAGGTGCTGGACAGACAAGGATTTGCATCCGAGCTGGGGGCTGGGATCAGGAGGGGTGGACGGCTGGGAGGGTGAAAGGTGGAAGTTGACAACAATGATTTGCATGAAATTTTGACTAAAATTACATTAGAAAAGGCTTTAGGAATGCTGCAAAGAACATGTGCTGTGGGTAGATGTAACTGGACTGATATTCGAGAGTGTGTTTGTAGTTGCTCAATCTGTTGCTTTGCAGCATAGTATTGTGGTGGCAACTGCAGTACTTCGGGTGAAACAGCATAATTTGAGCACAATTGAAACAAATTTTCATCCCGAGGCAATAAATCGTAGCGATTATTTTCCCAATAAAGGGCTACAGCTGAATTTCACATGGATCTGCTGCAGGTCGACACTGCAATCTTAAGGCACTGGACAGTCAGGCATTTGGAAACGAGCTGGGGGTCGGGATCGGGGAGGGTGGAGGCTAGGGAAGGTACAAGGGTGGCTGAAAGCACAGTCGAAGAGGAGGGTTTTAGGACCTGCCTTGAAGGAGTCAAGGGAGGGAGCAAGGTGAAGGGAATGTGGGGTGGAGTTCCAAAGGGTGGGGGCAGAAACGTTGAAGGTGGTGTGGGCCGGGCGGGGAACGTGGAGCAGGCGACAGCCTGCTGAGCGGAGGGAGCGGACAGGTTCATGTGGGGTCAGCAGGTCATAGAATTAGGAAGGAGCAAGGCAAAAGATCTACAAGAAAGTTTAGGAGGAACTTCTTTACACAGAGCTTCACACAGCTGAGAACGTGGAACCTCACGACATGAAGCCACAGTTGAAGCAAAAAGCATCAATGCATTTAAGAGGAAATGTGTTGCAAACATGGCAGAGAAGGGAATAGGAGAGGTATGGAAGGAGGCGAGAGATGGGATTAAGATGAGTGAAGGCTAATATGAAACATAAACATTGGTATGGACTCGTTGGGCCTGTTTTGAGTCTGTAGATTCTATGTGATTCCATTTAATAAAAATAATAATCCTTGCATTTGATACAGCACCTTATCACATCTTCAAGACGTCTCAAAGCGCTTCACAGAATATACTGTGAAGTGAATTGACTGTTTATTTTGTGGGGAAAATGCGGCAGCCAATTGCACACAGTAGTGTCCCAAAAACAGTCGTGGATTGAGTGACCAAATTATTTTTTGAAAAATGTTTTGAAGGGATTATTACTATTAAGATTCCAGGAGCCAAGCTGCTGAATTGCCCTCTCTGATTAGTGTAAAACTCACAGTGAAGGGAGTGCCAAGTGTTGAGAGATTAATTGATTAATCAATCAATCAATCAATTAATTAATCCTGAACATTTAAATTTGCATGGTCTTGATATATACTTGTTAGGGAACTGGTCAAGCAACAGTCGCTAGCTTCCTAGAGGTGAGGTAAGTGAAATCTCCCTAGAGCTTCCTGAAATGTATATCAGAGAAAGTAGGCAGATGTCCACAGGATATCTCCTTATGGCACTGCTGATGGTTGACCATCTTTTCTGGCTGATCAATGAGATTTTGAGGTATAGACTTGTGGTTAGCCCTGCAAGCCAAAGCCTGCACAGTGACAGCAGTCCTTGTTGGATTATTGAAATTACTATAACAATCATAAGAAAATATGGAAAATAAGAAACAGAAATTATTTTCTAACCAGATTCAAATTCCTTTCAGTCAATTATGAGACTGAATTAAATTTAAAAGTAGCTCGGTATTGGTTTCTATTTAAACTCTTTATTTTATTCGCAAGAGAACAGTGAACCCCACAAATAATGACTGATTAAGACTCGGAGAATGTTTTGGTACAAATAGTGTTTCCATCTGCTGTATGGGTCAAGTTGATTTTAATTTTGTGTATGATCTTTGAATAATGTAGGAAACTGACAAAGACATTTTTTAGGAGTTGCAGTTTTATTCCTATGCACAGATCTAAACTTTGAAATACCTTGCTAAACTATGTTACAAAGAAATGCACATTTTGTGAATTTCTCATCTGGACCGTTTCATCTTTTCATCTACTCTTCGGCTGACTGTTGAGAGAAAGAAAGGACAAGAAAGTTAAAATAATGCAATAGAAATACTTGTAACATACCCTGTATATTCGTTAGCAACAACCAATACACAAAAACCTTTTTGTCCTATTGACATTCGAGGTGTGTTAATCATCACAGTCCAATGAATTTTCAAATCAGATGAGATACTCGTACCTTGGAGCTGATGTCGCGGGTTTTTGCCCTCAGTTTGTTGACCTGGGACTCTGCGATATCAGCACGTTCCTCAGACTCCTCCAACTCGTGCTGCACCTTCCTGAACTTGCTCAGGTGAATGTTGGCCTGTTCCTCCTAAACCAATCACAACACAATAACAGTCACAACACAGATCAACATATTTACCATGGAAGCCAACAGATGACAGTCAGCTCAAGAAATAGTCAATCATTGATGAGTTGATAATAATTTTAACTATCCATTAGCGATGGAGGTTTGCTGTAGTTCTTGGAAAGAAACTCCTCAGTGACCGCGACAATTTTCAATTATCCCAATTAATTCAACCATACAATTCTCTTTTTTTTAAAAAAATGCAAGTAACTACCATTTGTTCTGTTCATTTTTTAAATGAAGAATTACTTACAGCCTCCTCAGACTGTCTTTTGTAGGCCTTGACCTTCAGCTGCAGTTTGTCAACCAAGTCTTGGAGTCTCAACACATTCTTTCTGTCTTCCTCTGACTGCACAGGAGAAAAGTGCATTGTAATCATAACACTGTTATGGCACGCTATTTTACATGAGGAACTATGCTAAAAGGAGAAGGCAAACTGTACAATAGGGAAGTGCACATTACCTGGTAGGATACCTCCTTGATTCTCCTTTCATATTTGCGGACACCTTTAAGGGAATCCATGCTGCGCTTCTGCTCAGCCTCCAGTTCATTCTCCAGCTCATGTACCTAAACCAATCACAAGATGCTTAGAAATGAAGGCTAGTTTCTATCATTGTTCACGTGCCTTATTAATTATTTGAAAAAGCTTCATATTAAAACATTTCGCTTGTGATCTTACGATCTCGCAGTTTACATTCACAGAAGTCATGCAAAGCCTATCATAAATGTCACTCACCCTAGCTTCCAGTTTCTGAAGCTGTTTCTTTCCACCTTTCATTGCCAGCTGCTCAGCCTCATCCAGTCGGTGCTGCAGATCCTTGACTGTCACCTCTAGGTTCTTCTTCATTCTCTCAAGGTGAGCACTGGTATCCTGTTCCTTTTTGAGTTCTTCTGCCATCATGGCGGCCTGAATGAATCAAGGTTAATGAGATGGGCCATTATTGAGACAATGAGTTTGAAAATAGTTGACTTGGACAATGGTCACAGACATAAATGATAAAGATGATTCTGACTTACATCAGTGATTGCCTTCTTTGCCTTCTCTTCAGCGTTTCTTGCTTCCTGAATTGTTTCTTCAACTTCACTCTGGAGGTGAGTCACGTCACTCTCAAGCTTCTTCTTTGTATTGATGAGACTTGTGTTCTGGAACAAAAGGCAACAAGGTTGGAAAGTGTCTTGTATATAATCTTAACAATATCATCATATCATTTTCGTCGGACTATACCATTTAAACATTCCAGAATTCTATCTATTCTAGATGTATTTCTAGACTCTTACCCAATAGCCATTTATATCTTTCTTCAAGTTTCTATCAGATTATGTTTTAAATGACATGATAGACTTGGTTTCAATGACCACTTGTGGTAATGCCATCCACTCTGTAATGACTGTTGCGCACAAATTGTCTTTCAGTCCGTCCGTCCGCCCTCCCCCTCGCCTCTCATGTTGCTGGTAATAATCATCAGCTTATATTTTCTTATTAACAATTCACCAACCAGTGGAAATAACTTGTCACTGTTTACTCTCTTGAATCATTTGCTAATTTTGAACACTTCCTTTAGTTCTCCTCTTAACCTTCTCTGCTCAAGTGGAAGGAGTGAACTGTAAAAAAAAAAGTACCCCATTTGGTGAAAGACAACATTGACAAACCTGAGAGTGCAGGAGTTGTACTCTCTCACTTGTGTCCAGGAGTTCTTGCTCAGCAACCTTGCGAGCTCTCTCTGTCTGTTCAAAAGCAGCTCTCATTTCCTCAATCTCAGCCATTTGCAAGCTGCTTCTGCGCTCAACCATGGCCAGTTGTTCTTTCATGTCCTCCTGGCCTCTGCAAGCATCATCCAGCTGCAACTGGGTATCCTACTCAGACAAAAATATTGGGAAATATATGAGTAACAATTATATACTGCATAGTTTACATTATTTATTATTGAACATAAATATAGTTTCACTGTCGCCTCACTAAGGGAATAAACTCACAAAGCTTAGCAAACAGAGGAAAGTCTGACCAATTAGCATGAAGATATTTTACTGCTTGAGTAGTCTTTAAGCAAATTGACATAATTTGTTACAATTCCTTGAAAAAATAATAATAATAATTTGGTCACTCAATCCTTGACTGTTTGTGGGAAACTGCTGTACACAGTTGGCTGCTGCTTTTCACCCACAAAATATACAGTCAATTCAATTTGCAGTATTTAAATTAGTAGCAGATCAGGAAACATTAATTGGAACTGGATTAACATGAAGCGAAATCACAGAAAATCATCTCTATTATGCAGACCTTGAGTTGACCCTGCAGGTTTCTGAGATGTTTCTGAGCCTCTGTAGCCTGGCGATTGGCATGGCCTAACTGAATCTCCATTTCATTCAGATCTCCCTCCATCTTCTTTTTGATTCTTAGAGCATCATTCCTGCTCCTGACTTCAGATTCCAAGGTGCTTTGCATGGTATCCACAACCCTCTGGTTATTCCTCTTCAGCTGATCAATTTCCTCATCCTTTTCTGCAATTTTTCTGTCAACTTCAGACTTCACTTGGTTCAATTCAAGTTGAATACGGAGGATCTTGCTCTCTTCATGTTCCAGAGATGCCTAAGAATGGGAGGGCAAAATGCTGAATAATCTGCGTATCACTGGGGTTATCGTTATCTCTAATACGAGCATGTATCACTTGATGTATATTTTTAAAAGTGTATGCACTGAAGCTCCTGATATGTTCTCCTAAATTAATTATACCTCAGCTTCCTCCAAAGCAGCCTGGATTTCGCTCTTCTCTTGCTCTGCTGTCTTCTTGGCCTTTTCTAGCTCATGAAGACTCTTGCCAGTTTCAGCGATCTGTTCAGTCAGATCAGAGATCTCCTCTGTTTGATTGAAAAGTAGAATTGTAAAAAAAAGAAACAACTCCAGGACCAACTCCTATTCAATTAATAACAGCAACGTTTTGAAATGATGAAGGCGATATCGGTACAACTTACGCTGCAGGTTCTTGTTCTCTCGTTTAAGAGTTTCAAGTTGGTCCAGAGATTCCTCATAGGCATTCTTCATCTTGAAGATCTCAGTGCTTAGAGAACGAGCTTCCTTCTGAGCTGCTTCCAGTTCAGCCTGACCTTCCTCAAATTTCTGCTTCCATTCTGCCAGAACCTGCATTGTACAACTCAAAATGTTAGAATGGATAATGTGTGTTTTACATTTGAGAGAGAAAACAGAGAGAGAGAGAGAGAGTGAGAGAGAATGTAACCAATTTTCACCTTGTCAAAGTTCCTCTGTTTCTTATCCAAAGCTGCTGCAGCAGAGTTGGCTCTTTCAACATCAATCATCAGATCCTCAACTTCACCCTGAAGTCTTTGTTTGGTCTTTTCCAGTGAAGCACATTTGGAGTTCACTGCCTCAATGTGCTCCTCTGCATCCTGAAGACGTTGAGCTAGCTTCTTCCTGAAAAAGAAAAATGATTGATATCAGTTAAAATGACGTAAAATGTTTTGTGCCATTTATGGAGTAGATAGGAATAAACAAGCATATTATGTTATGAAAACCTACTTGGCCTCTTCAAGCTCCTCAGTGCGCTGGATTGCATCAGTCTCGTACTTTGTTCTCCACTGAGCAACCTCACTGTTGGCCTTGGACATGCCACGTTGAAGCTCTGCCTTTGCCTCCTGTTCCTCCTCATATTGCTCACGGAGTAAATCACAATCGTGGCGAGCAGATTGCAAGCCGTGAGCCAGTGCATTCTTAGCCTGAAATGGTATAATGATCAAGTGTAACTAAATCGGGATATTACTGCACATCAACATGTCACGTGTAGTAAACCTAAACAATAATGTCTTCATTTCAAAGAACACTGTGTCATTGAAGTTACAACTGTCTCGTGCAATTGGGCATTTGGCAATTTTGATACAGAGATATGCTATTAAACAACAACAAGATTACATATTAAATATCCTGCATCTCAAAGAAGTTCAGTAATACTTAGGTGATGCTTTACATTATATCTGAAAACTTCAGTGGAAACTATTGGTTGTGTTAGATACTCCTGTTTCATCAATGGGATTTGAGGATGAATCCAAACCAAATTGTTGACTATATGGGTACAATAGCTTGTGTGACCAATGAAAATGATAACACTGTGACAATGATGGCACTCATTCCTGGCTGAACCTCAGGTACTTCACTTGGGCAGAAATTTATTCTACATTCAGCCCCACTGAATCGCATTCAGAGATTTTTGGAGCTGCAGGAAGTTCAGACAATACATATGTTCCATTTTGACTTTTTAGCATTGCCACCAGCTTGATCAGCAAAAATTCATCCAAAACTAGTAGGTATTCCTGAAACACAATCTGTACCTTTGTTTCCTCCTCTAATTGTCTCTTGAGCTCCTCTATCTGTTGAGTGAATCCTTGTTTTCCTCTTGTTAGCTGGGAAACCAAGGCTTCTTTCTCCTCCACTTGGCGACTCAGTTCACCTACAATTACACAGAAGGTTCGAGCAAAGCGCAAAACCATCATTCAAATTAAATGCCTATTTAATATAACATTATTTAATGTATAATTTATTATCTAACACATATGTAAGTCAGGGTTATGTAACTTGGCTCAGTTGCTAACATTATTATTTATAATAAATACCGTTTTCTGTTCCAAGGCGGGCTTTTTGAGTTGATAAGTCATTAATCAGACGTTGATGTTCATCATGTTTAGTCTTCAGTTCATTGACTTGGTCTTCCAGTGTGCGAGATATCTTCTCAAGGTTTCCCTAAATCAAAATACACAATTTCCCAAAATGTAATTCTATATAGATGATAAAGAGCAGAGAGTTTCTGAGAGAATAAGTTTATCCAAATTCTAAAACTTACCTTAGATTTGGATACTGTTTCCATGTTGCTGGCCAGATCATCGATTTCCATCTTCAGCTCGCTCTTTTCCTTTTCCAGCTTCTGTTTCACACGCTGGAGGTTGTCGATCTGTTCTCCAAGTTCTGCCACACTGTCGGCCTGCTTCTTACGAAGAGCAGCAGCTGTGGCTTCATGCTGCAGTGTGGCTTCTTCCAGATCACGGCGCATTTTCTGGAATTCTGCTTCCCGTTTCTTGTTCATCTCAATCTGTGCGGCAGTTGCACCACCGGCTTCTTCAAGCCTTTCACTGATTTCCTCCAGTTCACGAGAAAGATCAGTTCTCTGCTTCTCTGCCTTAGCACGAGCTGCACGTTCAGCTTCAATTTCCTCCTCCAGTTCTTCAATACGAGCCTTGGAACAAATATATACTGATCAGCATTCTAAGAACAACATAATCTGTTGTAAATAAACTTTAGAAATACATAATTCAAAATTTTCCAAAGTGTGTGGTCACCTGTAATTCTTTGATCTTTTTCTGCAGCTGTGAACCCAGTGCCTGCTCATCTTCAACTTTGCTTTGAAGTTGGCTGATTTCAAATTCCTTCCTAATTTGCAGATGTAAAAGTTACTTAATTACTTAATTCACAGAATTTGAAATTAATACAGAATCCCCGATTATTTATCTTGTGTAATTATTATGCTTTGGGACAGAGTATAATATCTGAATGGTATTGGGTATTTAAAATGGTGTTAGCTGATACAGTCTGGCTTCATGGTTTTACAATTGGCCTCAGTACCTTGGATTTACAGGGGAAAATGATCAGGTCCTGATTGTTATGCATCAATCCTGGCTGGGTGTGCACATTTGTAAATGACAGTTCAGGACAGGAATAGGTTCAGCTCCAATTCCATGGGTAAATGGCCTGCCAACACTGACATGAACAATAGGTACTAAAAGATGAGGTACTAAAAGGTTTTCTCAAACCCATAGAACTATACTGCTGATTAAAAAAACAAGTAGCCAACATTTTCACGAGAGAAGCAGCTTTTCCTCTCTCTCTCTAGGAGTCATTGTGTTGCACTGACTAAATTACCCTATTGGTTTAATCAGAGAAGCTCAACAAGGTTACATCTGCAGGAGAGGAAATCTACTGACTTAGGATTTTAAGTTTATATTGTTAGCAGTAACATTTGAAATGCCTCAGATTTCATTTCAAGGTGAATACTAACTTCTTCAGTTTTTCATCCATTTGCTGCTTATCATTCTCCAAATCCATTAGCCCCTCCTGTGTCAGCTTTAAGTCTCCTTCAAGCTTCCTCTTGGCCCGCTCAAGGTCCATGCGAAGCTTCTTCTCTTGTTCCAGAGAACCTTCAAGCTTTAGAAGCAAACCATGTTTTATCAGACTTTGCTTAAAACAATGGTAGTATTTTACAAGCCCACTTGATTTAGTTCAGATTAAGAATACTTACATCATCGACTTGCTGTTCCAGTTTAGTCTTTGTTTTAGTCAGAGTGTTGACTTTGTCTTCCTCAACCTGGAGGTCGTCCAAAGTTTGTTGATGGGCCTCCTGCAAGGCTTTCTTTTCTTTTGTCAACTTGGCAATATTTTCGTCAAGGGAAGCCATTTCTTCAGTCAGATTTTTAACCTATATTCCAGCAATACACAGGATTATCAAGAGTTGCATTATTTCTACTGCAGTGTATATACTGTATATCTCGTATACCATTCTAAAGATTAACCTTTTATACCTTGTTTTCTGTGGCATGCTTCTCCTTTTCAACCTTAGCTAATGTCAGCTCTAAGTCATCGATATCTTTCTTCAGTTCTGAGCATTCATCTTCCAGTTTTCTCTTCTTAGCTGTGAGTTCAGCATTCATCTCCTCTTCATCCTCCAATCTCTCATTCAATTCTTTCATTTTAGCTTCCAGTTGAATTTTGTTTTTAATGAGCCCCTCGCATCGCTCTTCAGCATCCGCTAGAGTTTCACCTTCCTGTAAAAGTCACCCGTACACCATTAAGTGAATTAATTTGCATTTTACGGTATTTGTACCATTAAACAAATCAGTTTAATCACTGAGTGGAAATGTTATTACCGATTGGACTTGGACCATAAGATCATTCTTTTCCTGCACGAGTGACACCATTTTCTCCTCAAGTTCCTTCCTTCTTGCTTCTGATTTAGCAAATGCTTCCTTTGTCTTCTCAAACTCCTCTTTCATATTTGCCATTTCCTTTTCAGTTTCTGCACTCTTCAGAAGAGGTTTGATCTTGAAGTACAGAAGCATCCATGGCCAATGTTTGACATTCATGAATGAACGGATATTATACTGGATAGAGAAGATAGACTCCCTGTGTAATAAGATTAACAAACATTAAAAAGAGTCTGTTAGCTCATTATTTTGATGTCATAAATTTCCATTTTGTTGGACAGTACCTCCTTTCCATCATCTTCGTAAACTCGACTCTCATTAAGAAACCACGACACAATGCTTGTGTACGGGTAATGAGTTGAGCTAATTTGTCGTCCCTCATCTCTTCAAGGGTACCCAGCAGACCAGCTTTGAAGAACACCTTTAAAGAACAGTGAAACAATGTTTTTAGTTTTTGCATATAATCCATGCAGCAGAGTAGGTAAACCAATCACCAGGCTTTGAATCGATCTTCCTCATGGAGATTAAATTTAGGAAGTTTTTTGTTTTATTTGTCATTTCAAACAAATAGGTTTCATTATAATTAATTGTTACTATTCGCAGAGAGTTAATTTCTCCAATTGCACAACATCACGCCTCAGCTTTATTTCTCTTCTCTGCCATGATAATAATAATAATAATCCTTGCATTTGATATAGGAGGACGTCCCAAAGCGCTTCACAGAACACACTGTAAAGTGAATTGACTGTATATTTGTGGGCGAACGCGGCGGCCAATTGCGCACAGCAATGTCCCACAAACAGTCGTAGATTGAAAATGACCAATTTATTTATTGTTTTTGGTTTTGGAGGATTATTATTAGGCTCTGTGTGGAGTAAGGAAACTTGCCCAAGGTTTCGCCCTCTGCCGGGAATTGAACTCAGGTCTCTCACTTGCAAAGCGAGTGCTCTAACCACTGAGCTACAGGACTCCACATGATATAAGTTTATCACCATGCTATTTATTTCACATTAACAAACAACAGTTGAAAATGTTTTCCTACCTTCGTGTGTCCAAATTTATACTGGGTGTGATCAACATCAATGGATCCCAGCAGCTTCTCACTGGCCTTCTTGCTGTCAATGAACTGACCTTCAGGGATGGCACTTGCATTAAGAACCCTGTATCTGTTGTAATAAAGATGAAAACATATCAGCATTTGTTACTGTGTATGATCAACAACATAAACTGAAGGAAGTGTAGAAATTCAGACTCTTTACCTTTGCTTGAAGTCAGCATAGAGGATTCTGCTCGGGAATCCCTTTCTGCAGATTCTGATACCTTCAAGCACACCATTACACCTCAACTGGTGTATGACAAGGTGATTATCCATAGCACCTGATGGATCCAACATAATAATTAGAACACTGAATATTAACTGGCCTTTCTTTTTACAGAATTAGACATACAAAAAAACAACCTTTCCTGATCACACTCATGATTTGTTTTCTATAAATTAACACAGAATCATAGAATTATACACCACAGAAGGAGACCATTGGCCCAGCGTGTCTGTGCCAGCTCTTTTAAAAGACCAATCTAAATCAGTCCCACTCCAACGCTCTCTCCCCATAGCCCTACAAGCTTGTCCTTCCCAAATAATTATCTAAAATACAAATTTAGTTTAAAAGCCAAACTTACCTGGTGTTTTTGTCTCATTGGGGATCAAACAACGTACAAAATGTGGATGTGTTGTTCTCAGGTTAGCCATCAATTTCCCCAAGTTTTCCTGTAATGAATAGGAATTCAGTTGCAATTTTCTTTGAAATTTATTATTGAGCATTAGCCACACAGATCAAACCCTGGGGTCCATTGGTTAGTTCATCCCAGGCAGGGCAGCATTGCAGGAATTATATTTGTACTCAATGCCCTGAGTCAGGGAAGGAAAAATAGCTAGCCCTTATTCTCCTTATTGACACTTTAGCAGTTCATTCTTGAAAGTGGATTCAGAAAGGAAAGGAAATAATTTTGAGTTTTCGAAATATTTAATAGGGATTAACAGATTTTAGAAATGAGAAGAGAAGAGCATCCCAAAGGACAGCGATGCCCTGACTAAGAGCTTGGACTCTGATAATGGAATGGAGTAATACCTCTGTGTCAGAAGAGCTGGTGGGGGCTGTAAGGTAGGGCTGGAGAAAACTGGGCGGTTAGGATGCAGCATTGTCATGGGAGTGTGGTGAGGATCCTGACATTAATTGTCATACGACACCAAGGTAAGTGGGAACTAGAGTGACCTTCCCTCACTCTCCCATTGCTAAATGCTGTAACATTAATGTATTAAGAATTACAATGTAGGCTCGGTCCATGATTACAACCAAAACTATGGAACTGTACACCTAACTTAGCATGAGTTAATGTATTCAGGAGAAGAGAGCAGAATATTTGAGGAGAAAGAATAATAGGTATTTAAGTGGAAAGAAGTAAAATTACGTAAGGAGGGAATCATACCCTGAAAAGAGCAGATACAGTCTGGAAGGAACCACCCTTCTTCTTGCCTGCTTTCTTTGGGGCATTTTCTGTTGCAAAGAAATAATTCATTTGGTAAGTTTTTTTTAAAAAAAGTCATGGATCAAGAATTAAACACTACAACAAAGTTAACCATTAAAAAAAAATTGGGGTTTAGATGAGTGTTTTACCTTCTGCTGTTACGGCATAGAGAACAACTAAAAGCTTCACTGAAGATTTCTGGAACAATCCAATTACAGTTTCATTCAGTGGATCCTTATTTTTTTCCAGCCAGCCAGTGATGTTGTAATCCACAATACCAGCATAATGACCCAGGGAGAAGTGAGCTTCAGGCTTTCCTTTGACAGGCTTGGGTTTTTGGAAGTTGTTTGATTTGCCAAGATGCTGGTCATACAGCTTGTTCTTGAATGATACGTCTGAAGACTTGGGGAACATACACTCCTCTTCCAGGATGGAGAAGATACCCATGGGCTGTAATCATAGAATCAATTGTATAAGAGCAACATTACCTTTTGCAATTAAGCAATTTATAAAGAGACAACATGAACAACTTCATTTATATATCGGTGTTCATGTGGGACAGCATCTCAGAGCGCTTAACAATGGCGGAGCCCGATGCGAGCTGGGGGGGAGTAGGTCACCATAAGCACGGTTGAAGAGGAAGGTCTTCAGTTGTGATCTAAAAGAAGGGAGGGAGGGGGCAAGATGGATGGATTGAGAGAGAGTTCCAAAGCTTTACGGTATAGTGGTTGAAAGAGCAGTCGCCAATGGTGAAGCAGAGGGACGTGCAGGAGGCTGGTGCCAACTGAGCAGAGGCAATGGGTAGCGGAGTGGGGAGAGAGGTCAGAAAGGCAGGGAGGCGTGAAGGGATACGTAGACAAGTCGCACATGTTAAATGATTTAATTTCTCATTAAGGTTTATGGAACATTCCCTACCTTTTCAATAAGCTCAATGCAGGCAGCCAGATCCATACCAAAGTCAATGAATTCCCACTCAATTCCTTCCTTCTTGTATTCCTCTTGCTCCAGGACGAACATGTGATGGTTGAAAAACTGTTGCAGTTTCTCGTTGGTGAAGTTGATGCACAGCTGTTCCAAGCTGTTGTACTGAATGAAGAAAGTTAACATTTTAAGTTGCCATTCTTCGTGCTAATTGTTACCTTCAGTAACACTGATTTATTGGCGTGTTTATTTTGATAAGTCCTTGTAACTTACATCAAAAATTTCAAATCCGGCAATGTCCAGGACACCAATGAAATGCTGTCTGGCCTGTTTTGTGTCCAGTTGCTGGTTGATGCGTATCACCATCCACAAGAACATTTTCTCAAAGATTGATTTTGCAAGGGCTCCAACGGAGTTGTACACCTGAATCAAGACAAAAATTGTCTTAAGTCTTTGCGTTCTCGAGGCTTTAATTTAATCATTAAAACACTTTAGTATTTCGCCATACAGTACTTTTCTGTTTCAGCAAATAGTACCTGAGGGACAGTTTGACCTTTGGTCACAAACTCATTGCCGACCTTCACTCTTGGGTAGCACAAAGCTTTGAGCAAATCTGCGGAGTTCAGGCCTGTGAGGTAAGCAATTTTATCGGCAACTGAAAGGGAAGAAAATATTAAAATGTTATTTTTGGAATGCTGCTTCTTTCTCCATGTTGAAATGCTTTTCTAGCATAAGCATTACAACAACAACTTGCATTTACTCAGCGCCCGTCACGCAGGGTGGCATCCCAGTGCGCTTGACAGTGGCGGAGCACAGCGCCAAGGAGGGGTGGGGCGGTGACTAGGCACAGGTCAAAGAGAAAGCTCTTCAGGCACAACCTGAAAATGTGGAAGGAAGGGGCAAGGCGGAGGGGTAGAGGAAGAGTGTTCCAGAGTTTCCGGGCAATTTTCATGCCAACTTTATGTCATTCGACATTTTAATTACACAAAAGTTATTAAAGCCATGCAAAATGTCCAAGTTTCTACCTTCAGTGCCATCGGGTTCAGCCTGCTCCTCACGCTGTTTCTGCTTGAATTTCAAGTTACCAAAGTGCATGACTGCACCTGTCAATTTGTAAATACCGTTTTTCTCATCAGAGTTGAAGCCCAGGATATCAATGGCGCTCTTTAAATTCAGGGGGGAAAACGTTAGGACCCAAGTAAACACGAATATATTGAAACAGTAATTCCATACAAAGAGGTTGGTGGAATATACATAATTGTTATTTGCTGTGTCATAAAATGGCACACAGATTACCTTCTTAAATTATCAATTGTTCCTGATAAATAGGATTCTTTATACAGTATTCCACAAGTTTATATGCATTGTATTTTTATTTTGTCCATGCCTTATAATAAAGATAATAGAAACAAAGTGAATGTGTACAGCTAATAACTTACATCAGTAGCCATCAGCTCCTCTATATCATCAATACTCTTGACAGAAATCTCACCCTGGCTGATAAAGTGAAAATCGTAGGGATTGGTGGTAATGAGGCACATTTCTAGGAAGAAAAGGATTTTGCATAAAGATTTATAAACATGAATATTTCTACTCCCATAACCTCACTCTGCAATCCCATTTTTTTTTAAGTATGTTGATTGGATATGGGTCTCTATGGCAGAAACCCATCAGCATGCTTGCATCCCACCTAAACCCAGAGTTCCTTGCATCCCACCTAAACGTGGGAATTGCTATCTGAAATGAAATGCGCAATCTCTGCCTGGCGGGAAGCACCCTGCTTTTCTAATTCTGAAGCGTACTGTATATTGTAAGAGCCAAGGCTTTGGGACCTCAGAATGTGCGTTGGGGGTACTGCTGGAGTTTAACCGGCTTATAAACCAGACTACTGAGATCACCACAGACTCTATTCTGACATTCCATTGCCAAGCGTATCACCTTAGAGCCAATTATGCTCCAAGGAGACACCCTGACCTCCCTCACCAAGGAGGATATTTCCTATGTTAAAATCCCTAATCAATGATGAGATACAGTCATAAAATAGAATTTAAATAATGTTAAATAGTGTGAAGACAGTATCACAAGAAAGTTCAGCAAGTGATACTATATTTTGGACATTTCTTGTGTAACTTTAGAAAGGTCACAATCAACATGCATTTCAAAGAGTCTTATCAATCCCCCAAGTCCCCAGATCAAATATTTTCCAAAACACTGAATTAAAATCTCTGGTTCTTACCAACAATCTCGGGTTTGTGATTAGTCATCATTTGGTAGAAAATGTGATAACTTCTTTCAGCTTTCAGCTGGAAGGTTACTCTGGACTTTTCCAGCAGATCTGTTAGACATAGAATCCATGGGTTGGATTACTGCGATACATAATCAATGGTTCACTAACTGGAGATGCTTATAGGACAAGTGCATAACTACTTACAGGTTTCAATATCTGCGGAAGACAGTTTTCCCGTTGTTCCAAAGTGAATACGGATGAATTTACCCTGGAAAGGAAGATTATACAAATATAGTCAAGGGACTTGAAATTCTGATTTATTTCTGCTTTGTTTCTGACCCCAAACTTTCCTCCAGAATATATTTTAAAAATACTGTCACTGTTCCTTCTGGCGCAGTAAAATATGTTGCATATGTAATAATCTGTGATGGGATATGTTAACCTTTTATCATTTCCCCATTAATATAAGGTGCTAATTTGCCAGGCAGAATTCATGATGAATAATGCATGTTGAGCGTGCGATATGGTTTGGAATAAAGATAATCTGTGCAACTGTGTAAAGAGATTTTCGAGCAAAACTTACGAAACGAGACGAGTTGTCATTTCTCACAGTCTTGGCATTACCAAAAGCTTCCAGCAATGGGTTAGCCTGGATGATTTGATCCTCCAGATTTCCCTAAAAAAAATGGTTTCACAGTTATTGCGACTGAGCCTTCTTGTGTAATGAAGGACAAATTATTAAGTAGCAAGAAATTGTCAGATGTAGTAAATTATGATGGAATATTTTAACATTATCTCACCTTTATCTTTCCAGCTGCCGCCTCTTTTTTCTTTGCGTCGCCAGTCACTGCAATTGTTGCAAAGTACTGGATGACACGTTTCGTGTTGACAGTCTTCCCCGCACCAGATTCTCCGCTGGTGATATAAAGTTAAGACAATAACAGTTAGGGTGTTTGTAAATATAATTACTGTCAAATAACAACTGCGGCCGGATAGGAATAAAAAGAGGTAAAGCTCACGTGATCAAGACGGACTGGTTTTCACGATCTGCGAATAAGAGGAACACAATGATTATGTCTCGAAAAACATAAATTGATTTATTGAAAAATTCAGAATGTTTTTGCTATTAGTTAATATCAAAGCTCAAAAATACAATGACACTGCAAACTGACAAACTGCAAACTGTCTTATTTATTTACCAGTTAACATGAACTGATAGGCGTTGTCAGAGATGGAGAAGATATGTGGAGGAGCTTCCTGACGTTTCTTTCCTCTGTAACCATTCACTACCTCGGTGTTGTACACTGGCAACCACTTGTAGGGATTCACGGTGACACAGAAGAGCCCAGAGTAGGTCTAGTTGTGAGCACAGATTAAATGAGTTAATTCGTCATGAATAACACAGATTAATCATATCATGTTTGCAAATCTGTCTCAGAAATCACATACTTACATAGATCATCCAGGCTGAGTAACGCTCTTTGAGGTTATACAGCACAGTTGCTTCATTCAGGTGAGTCATGACCACCATGTCTTCAATTTTATCGAATTTTGGAGGATTAATTGGCCAGATTTGATCTTCTTTAACTGTGACCGTCTGCAAATAAATCAACAGGTAGATAGATAGACCTCAAGATACTTTGCCAAAGCCAACAGATTTTTTTTTCTAATTGCAACAAAAACTTTCAAAAGAAACGTCTCTTGCACTTTGTCTGGTAACTGACCCGTTTGTCCAGTAACGTCTCCACTGTAACTTTGCCACCTTCCTTGCTCTTGATTGTACCTTTGACGTACAGGTCCTTCTCGTCGAACACGTAGCATGCTGTTTTCGCATCAAATGGCAGATTCTGGGCCTCAATTCTTTCTTTATCAGTTTTACGGAGGAACTGGGCGGCTTCGCCAAACACCGCCATTTCAGAGTCTCCCATTGTTGCTGTTTTACTGTTAAACAAACCATTGGGTCAACTAACAGTACTTTGGAAACAGCAAACTTTTGATGATGGCATTTGGTCCCTACATTTAAATGCTTTATCTAAATTCAAATAATCTATTTAGATATCTAAATACAGACCATCAGCTCAATGTCCCGCTCTGGGCCTTGGATCATTAAAACAAATTATTTTAATTTTAATATTCAACTTGAACAATTTTTCTAATGAAAGCGATTCTAAAAGTTTTAAACAAAATTGTTTTAAATGTACTTAGTCCACGAAGTTGCAAAGCCCACGCATGCAGGTAGAAACTTTTTATCTTTTAAATTTTTAGGAAAGATGGCTTTGAACGAATCCCAATTTGCCAGTTTGCCATGTGTGCTGTGCTGTCGCTGTGCCCAGTCTGAACCTCACTACATCTCACAGCAAAAACTTAAACTAAACTAAACTTGCCCTCTGTAACACTGACATGGACTGCTGACTTCAGATTTCATCAGAGCTGTGGTGGAAGACCATTAATCTAATGTCGGGTAAATGTCCCCTTCCTTACCCTCACCCCCTATTACCCCCCAAACTTGATCTGGGGTGGGGGTAAAAACATTTCTATTTACAGTATTTGCTCTGATGCTTTTTCCACTGGTTGATATCATCACATTGTAACATGGCAACAGTTCAATATATGATATAGTTCAACAGCAACATCTATCGGGGGGTCAGTTTTTTTCCCCCAAATTCAGCTATTTCGATTGGCTTTTTCATGTTAAAATGCAATGCAACTTTAAGTTAAGTCTGTTCTCCCCCCCCCCCCCCCACCCCCACCATTCCCCCCACCATCCCCCCAAAAATGACAGTATCAACAGTATTGAGTTGAATGTGCGGATAATCCATGAGCTCTCGTGTGATTAACGTTGTGATTAACGGTGTGTAACTTGTGCCGTTTGGTACAAACTTACGTGTCCTCTCACCAAAGATTCCTGGGCTTCTGAGCAGCTGCAATAAAGAGAACATGAGAAAGTGTCAGGTTTTGGGGGAACAAACAAGAACCATTTGTTTGGACTAAAACTTGTACCCTATGGCCCCGATGGGGGGGTGTCCTTCTATTGTCCCCCAAATGAGTGCAGTTTACAGTCTTTGCTTTTGTTGTTGTTGTTGTTGTTGTGCGGTTTTTTGTTAAAAAAAAACGAAAAAGAGGGAAATGTTGTCTGTATTTTAGACGATGGTCAAATATTTTTTTTATCAAAAAGTCGGATGTGTGTTGATAGATTTGTTTGTGTGTGTTGTCTCGGGTGTGGGGGGGGGGGTCAGTCGGTAAGTGGGTAATGAACTTGGTGGTGGGGGGGGTGGGGAGGGGAGGGGGGCAGAGGGGGAGAGGGGCAGAGGGGGTGGGGGGCAGAGGGGGGGGGCAGAGGGGGTGGGGGGCAGAGGGGGTGGGGGGCAGAGGGGGTGGGGGGCAGAGGGGGTGGGGGGCAGAGGGGCTGATGATTAAAACAAAATCCCAACTACAGTCGGTCCCAACGTGTAGAGCAGAATTCGCTCAGGACATACGTCGCACTGGAGACGCTGTTGGGTCTGAGGTCTCCGTCTCTGCGCCTTTATAGACACCCGCACTCTGCGCGGCTCAGCCCCGCGCTCTCTATATTTGGTGAATGTTACGGGGAGAGAGGGATCCTCACCAAACTGCTGACCACATCACATCACATCACATCACATCACATCACATCCCGCTTCTCATCCTCGGGTTATTTTTAAAGAAGCGGCGACGTCGGGATCTGTGTCTGTCCATTTAGAGCGAAATAAACATCAGGTCTCCAACCGAGAATACCCCCAAATCTGTCAGCAGTGCTGTGCGCAGCTCAGGGGCTGCCAAGCAAATATATATATATATATGTGTGTGTCTATATATCACCTATTTCTCTCTCTCTTTTTGTGTGATAATCCTGGTTTATGGGTAACAGAATTCCAGCGAATTATAACTGCGAACATTCGCTGTGGTTCATGTTTTGCGGCTCTTAACGGTGACTTCTTGTCCTATAGCCTAAGAGACAACTTGGGATTATTGGGGACCTGAATGAAGTCCTGTATTGTTTCTGTATGTTTCCGGCAAATGCAGCTCACTTTAGTAAGTCGTGTATTTGAAGGGTATTTGAAACAGTGATCGCTGTTCAGTACAACACTTAAACAAATGCTCCCAAAAAAAAAGAGTAATGTTAGTGTCGTGAGGACCAAATGGTACAGTAGGACTTGGCTGTCCATCCCGTCTCACAGTTACACAGTGAATGGTTCAACAGATGTAATTATTGAGCTGGAAAGAAATAACTTGCCCTAAGTGCTGGCTGGGCAGTCTCAAAACTGTCCACAGATATTTCCTGTGGAGTGAGTGAGTGAGTTGCCCCTTTTTGTGAGCAGGATTGAGGAGGCAACGCATCACAATCTGAATAATAATAATTCTTGCATTTGACAAAGCGCTTTGTCACTTCATTGAGACGTCGCCCAGAGCTTCACAGAATATACTGCGTCCCACAAACATTACAGCGCCTTATTACGTCAGGAGGACATCTGGAAATGCTTCATAGGATTTACTGTAAAGTGCAGTGACTGTATATTTTATAGGGCGCAGGTGGCAGACATGTTTGCACACCATTGTCCCACTGACAATGAATAATAATAAATAATGACAATGAAGTGAGTGACCAATTAGCCTTATTTGGAAACTAGTAGTGTATGTATACACTGAACAGCTTTATAATAATACTAATCCTTGTGTTTTGATATAGTGCCTTATAACAACAACAACTTGGATTTACATAGCGCCCTCCACGTCGGATGGCGTCTCAGGATCCCGGGGCCGAGCCGGGGGAGAGGGGTGGGAAGGTGACCAAAGGTGCGGTCGAAAAGAAAGGTCTTCAGCAGAGACCTGAAAATGGAAAGGGAGGGAATGAGACGAAGGGAGTGAGGAAGGCAGCTCCAGAGCCTCGGGTACTGTTTTGAGGAGAGAGGAGGTCAGAGAGGTCGGGGGGTGCAGACGAGTGGAGGGACTTGAATACGAGGGTGAGGATCTTGAAGTCGATCCTCTCTGGGTAGGCAGCCAGTGCAGTCTGGCCAGGACTGGGGGGGATCGGGGAGCGGAGTTGGTGCAGGTGGGAATGTGGGCGGCAGAGTTCTGAATGAGTTGGAATTTATGGATGGTAGTGACGGGGAGACCGGCGAGGAGGGCGTTGGAGTAGTCCAGCCGAGAGGTGACAACGGCATGGACCAGAGTTTCAGCGGCTTTTGGGGAGAGGTATCATGCCTTCTAGTCATCTTAAAGTGCTTCAAAGAATATAATGTAAAGTAAATTGGCTGTATATTTTGTGGGCAAAATAACTTTTTATCTCCAGATCATCTTTTCATTGAAGTAGTTTTGCAACAAATTGAATTCAAATAGACTATTTCAAAGAGTTTCCAATGAAATTCCTTCTATTCCAACATCAGGTTTCAGATAATTCTGGTGCCTTACTTTTGCAAATTAAATTAAAAAATATATTTGAAACAGATAAACTGCCTAAATTGCTGACGGTTTAGAATCAGAGGAAAAAGGTATCAATGGCCACAACCTGAGAAAACTATGATTGGTATGAATTGTCTTTCTTGGGTACTACCACTAGATGGTACGATTGCACACAGCAAAGATGATCTAACCCTTATCGGAATTTCCAAGTATTGGTTGCGGTCGAATTACAGGCTTTGCTGTGTCATTATAATGTCATTTGGGTTCAATATCCTTTGCGAAGTTACGTCACAGGTGCTCCCTGCACACAGTGATAGTTTTTATTAAACGAAAGAAATCCGGGCGTGGAGGCAACGCCAGTGGTACCAGAGACCGACCGTCAAGCCAACAACATTCCAAGCACCATGTGTACCATGCACAGGAAGTGACGTCAGCCGCAACCTGACATCCCAGAAGTCGGCCATTATATTGCTCAGGAAGTTGGCTCATCGTATTTCTGTAGTTGACCCGATTTGCACAGACTGTAGTACTATCCTCTTGCTTGTCTTCATTCTCCATTAGGCACTTTTCCTGGCCCCATGTCTCCTGTCAAAGCCTGACACTTTACTCCCCGTCATGCACTGCAGACTCCTTGATGGGACACTTGTCCCATCTCACGTTATGTCCCTAAACTGACGGACAAATCTTTGCACTCCCCAGCTGTGCCTCCTCGACTGCCAGCTCATGGCACAATTTCGGTTTGCTTCAAAAGTACCTTCAGTTCTTACTTGTACTCCCTCCCCCCTACACAAGAAAATGGTATAGGCAAGGTCATAGTTTTGATGTCACTAATGTAAGTAGTTAAAGAAAGAAATTGCATTTTTATTGCATCTAATAACATCGAAATATCTCAAAGTAGTTACTATCCTGTTTATCGCAGCTACGTGTTTACAAGTACAGCAACTGTTTTTTGTTGGCAACATTGAGACGTCTCAAAACGCTTCACAGAATATACTGTAAAGTGAATCAACTGTATATTTTGAAGGTGAATGAGCCAAACTGGTTCAGCAGCATTTCAGATCTGACCATGTGAAACACAGGATAACCTTTTGAGGTATGATAACAATCTCAAGCAATTTACCTTTCAACTGTAATATACATCAGTGCTGACTACAAAAAAATTGAACTATTCTTTCAAAATGTAAAGAAATTCCTGTCCAGCAATCATGCATTAACCTATTATGAATGCTTTTAATATGTCACACTTGAGTTACATTGGCACGGAACCAAGCCAACTAGAACGGGCTTTGGGTAATTGAAAAAGTAGACAATGGAAGTATTACAATGATGCTTTATGATGCTCATTAATATCTGGGTTGAAATCAGTGTACGGCAATCCCTGAATCCAGGTGTATCAGAAGGGTACCTGTACCAGACCTGCTCTGAGGCGTTATTCCGCGTACAGGGCACTATATAAATGCAAGTTGTTCTTGTAGCAGAGCACGCTTCTACGCAAACGTTGTAATAATAATTCTTGCATTTCGTATAGCGCCTTATCTTTGCTTAGCTTCAGTTGCCCCGTTTCAGAGCTTATTTTTGAAGTTATTCTCAATGTCTTCTGATTGCAGATCCCTCGGTCTTCCAGGATCAGCTGTCTTCAGGGTGATCTGGGCAGCTGCATGTTTATTGTAACACAGTCACATGTGTTTTCACCTACTGCTGATGAACAGGTCTTGGAGTCCCAATGAGAGACATAAGAACATAAGAAGGACTAACTTTATTTTACGCCATTTGTGGGGGCGTGTATTTAATGCCAACGGAAGCGTACATCAATGTCAATCACATCTCTTTCTGGTGAGTAATAGGAGAAACATTGAACATATTCCTTGCATTTGACGATTGACACTGATGCGTCTTAAAGCGCTGCACATGGAATTTTAGCCCAAATGTAGCACATTCCAAGGAAAATGCAGTAGTCGTTTCGTTGACATCAGGATCCCATGGACAGCCTTGAAGTGAATGATTGTTGGCCAGGACACAAGAAGAAACTCCTTCCTCTTTACAAGCCGCCCGATGGTATCATTAAAACACCTGGTCAGGTAGTTTAATGTCCCTTCCAAAGATTGGCCCCTTCTGCATCTCAGCACCTGCCTCAGGACTGACTGAGACCTGAACAGGAGCCCACGACCTTCCAACAGGGAGTCGAGAGTGCCATCACCTGAGTCACTGAACGGGTTTCCCATTCCCGGTGTCGGAAACATTGTGAGGGTTGGAAAGAACGACTGTTTGTGGGACATTGCTGTGCGCAATTGGCTGCCGCGTTCGCCCACAAATATACAGTCAATTCACTTTACAGTGTGTTCTGTGAAGCGCTTTGGGACGGCCTCCCGACGTGAAAAGCGCTATATCAAATGCAAGGATTATTATTATTATTATTATAAGGAATATTGAAATATTACCTCCCGTTGTTGCCGCTGGTGAGGAGGAGGCAGTTATCAGCCAATAACAATGCAGTGTGTGTTTAATTGGGGAAATCATTCACGATTTGTCTGTTTAATAACGATGTCGCCAACAGTCCTCTTTTTTTTTAACCAGAAATACACGCAAATTTGTAAGTGGCTTTGACCTGCAGGGATTCAAAGGGTTAAAACTAAACGTGAAACCTTTACAACACGGAATAGCACATCCAGTGCGCAATTTCACCATCAGATACACACAGAGAGAGACAAACACACACACACACAGAGACAGAGAGAGAGACAGAGAGACAAACACACACACACACACACAGACACAGAGAGACACAGAGACAAACACACACACAGAGACACAGAGACAAACACACACACAGACACTCGATCCCTTTAACTACACTTCATTAATGACATTTGGATGTGGTTCGCAAAGGCAGAGAGAGAGAGAGAGAGAGAGAGAAGGGAAATAAAGCTCTCGGTTTAGTTTCTTTTCCGTCAAAGCGCCGCATTCAGAGAGTTGCGGGAATTTTCATTCTCTCAAAAGCTCTGGTCAGGGCAGTGTGGGCATCACCAGGGCAGGGCATCGCCAGGACAGGGCAGGGCATCGCCAGGACAGGGCTGGGCATCGCCAGGACAGGGCTGGGCATCGCCAGGGCAGGGCAGGGCATCGCCAGGACAGGGCTGGGCATCGTCAGGGCAGTGTGGGCATCACCAGGATAGGGCTGGGCATCACCAGGGCAGGGCTGGGCATCACCAGGGCAGGGCTGGGCATCACCAGGATAGGGCTGGGCATCGCCAGGGCAGGGCTGGGCATCGCCAGGGCAGGGCTGGGCATCACCAGGGCAGTGTGGGCAGTGCTGGGCATCATCAGGGCAGAGTGGGCATCGCCAGGACAGGGCAGGGCATCGCCAGGGCAGTGTGGGCAGTGCTGGGCGAGGCAGGGCATCGCCAGGGCAGGTGGGCAGTGCTGGGCGAGGCAGGGCATCGCCAGGGCAGTGTGGGCAGTGCTGGGCGAGGCAGGGCATCGCCAGGGCAGTGTGGGCAGTGCTGGCGAGGCAGGGCATCGCCAGGGCAGTGTGGGCAGTGCTGGGCGAGGCAGGGCATCGCCAGGGCAGTGTGGGCAGTGCTGGGCGAGGCAGGGCATCGCCAGGGCAGTGTGGGCAGTGCTGGGCGAGGCAGGGCATCGCCAGGGCAGTGTGGGCAGTGCTGGGCGAGGCAGGGCATCGCCAGGGCAGTGTGGGCAGTGCTGGGCGAGGCAGGGCATCGCCAGGGCAGTGTGGGCAGTGCTGGGCGAGGCAGGGCATCGCCAGGGCATCGCCAGGGGTCTGCTCTCTGCTCCTCGTGAATCCGACCATCCGCCCTCGTCATGACGATCAGAGACTGAGTCTGAGTCATCTCATCTGTGGGAACACAAACAATGAGGGAACACAGTCTGTAGGCGTCAGATCCACACAGAGAGACAGAGAGACAGACACAGAGAGAGAGACAGAGAGAGACAGAGAGACAGAGAGAGGGAGAGAGACAGAGAGAGGGAGAGAGAGAGACAGAGAGAGACACACACAGAGAGAGAGACACACACAGAGAGACAGACAGACACAGAGAGAGACAGACAGACAGAGAGAGGGAGAGAGACAGAGAGAGGGAGAGAGAGAGACAGAGAGAGACACACACAGAGAGACAGACAGACAGACACAGAGAGGGAACGAGAAACCTCCTCTATTACCAATTGAAATTTATTTACCAGAAGCCTCCCTCTCCCCTCCCTCCCTCCCTCTCCCTCTCCCTCTCCCTCCCCTCCCCCCTCCCTCCCTCCCCCCTCCCCTCCCCCCCCCCCCCCCCCTCCCTCCCTCCCTCTCCCCCTCCCTCCCTCTCCCCCCCCTCCCTCCCTCTCCCCCTCCCTCCCTCCCCTCCTCCCTCCCTCCCCTCCCTCCCCTCTCCCCCTCCCTCCTCCCCCTCCCTCCCCCTCCCTCCCCCCCCCCTCCCTCTCCCCCTCCCTCCCTCTCGCAATGGCTGGAGTTTGGTGCAGGACTTTGTACGCTTTCACAGGGGAACAACACCAACAAGGACTGCGGTTCGGGGCCGGAGAGATCCTGAGGGTTACACAGGTGTTGGATGGCGGATGGTGGGAAGGAGAGAAGAATGGGATCAGGGGCTGGTTTCCTGCCAGTTACGTCGAAATATTAGAGGTAAGATGTTTATTTGGGGGGGAGGGGGGGGACAGTTATATTTATTTTATTCATTGTTCGCGCAATAAACTTTTTCTCCTCTCTTGCTCTGTCCTCTCCTCTCCCCTCATCACTTGCAGTTGGTTCTTGTTGGACACTTCAAGTCATTGCAATGGCTGTTGGAGGTTTCTGCTCAGTCAGAGGTGACATCTGCTGTCACTGGGAACTTGAACTTGGGGCAGTTCAGGAGGATCCCATTTGTACCTTCAGTGTTTCCAATCGCTTTGGGTTGGTTTGTGGTTCAGTATTGGTGGAATTAAGCACTCAACTCTGGGACACTACTCTGCTTGAGGGGCGCTTATATGAATGCAAGTTGTTGTTGGAATGAATCAGACCTGACCTGACCTGGTCCCACCTGGCAGTCCGCAAACCGTGCGGAAACCCTGGCTTTTGGCCATTGGTATCTTTGGGCATAGTGACAATTAGTGACTGTGATGTGTTTGAAAACGTTCTTCAGGTTTGGGGAAAGGGAGGTAAGTAAGGGAGAGAGATGGAACTTCTGAGAAAAGGGCTTTATACGTTGGAAACCATCGCAGCGACTCGCTTGTTCTGTTGACATTTTTCATTTTAGCAACTGTTGTGAAACCGAATCAGTTGGCAATGTTCCAACCGGATATTATTTCCACTGCTGCTAGGGGGCGAACTCCGAAACACAACATTGTAGGGGGGGGTTGGTGAGAAACTCAGGATTTGACTTCCACAAGAAAGCTGCTTAATTCAAGTGGTCAGTAAATCGCAAACACCAGCCTTGTGCTGCTTCCACTATTCTGCAGTCGTGTTTCGCTGCATTTGGTTTACTGTTGCAAGTAGATCGAAAGTTCAAGAGAGAAAAATATCCCTTCTTAAACTCATCAAAGAATTTGTGGAATGAGCTTGTTCTGTGCTTTGGGAGTTTGATTAACTTCGGTGTTTTGTTCGACTCACAACTGTCTTTCAAACCGCACGTCCGTGCTTTGACCAGTTCAGCTTTCACCCAACTCCCCAACATTGCACGCCTTTGACATTACTTCCCTTCGAGCCACCGAGACCCTCATCCACACTTTCATCACATCCAGGCTTGATGATGCCAACTCTGCTCACCAAATTTCCCAACTATTCCCTCCACAAGCTACAACTGGAGTCCTGTAGAGTCCTGTAGCTCAGTGGTTAGAGCACTCGCCTCTCAAGCGAGAGACCTGGGTTCAATTCCCGGCCGGGCCAAACCTTGGGCAAGTTTCGTCACTCCACACGCCTAATAATAATCCCTCAAGAAAAAAAACAATAATAAATTGGTCACTTCAATCCACGACTGTTTGTGGGACACTGCTGTGCGCAATTGGCTGCCGCGTTTCGCCCACAAATATACAGTCAATCACTTTACAGTATATTCTGTGAAGCGCTTTGAGACGTCGAGAAGATGTGATAAGGCGCTATATCAAATGTAAGGATTATTATAACTCTGTGAACCCCCACCCCTCAATCCTCACCAAACTCCCCATCCCCACAGAAGATTGAGTTTAATATCCTCGTTCTCACTTTTAAACCCCTCTCCTGTCTTGCCCCACCCCACCTCTGTGACTTTCTACAACCCTACTAGCCCGCCCACTCCCTCTGCTCAGCACTACCTACTCCACCATCGGTGGTCAGGCCTTGAGCCTTTCTGCCCCACTCTCTGGCTCTCTGTCCTGGAGTTCCCTCGTCACACCTCCTTCAAAGTCCGTCTCAACATCTTTCTCTTTAACTGGGGGTCATCTTCTCACCCCCTTTGTCCCCCACCCCTCCCAAGTCCATCCCCCAGCTCGGGTGCAAACCCTAGACTGTCCAGCATCTTGGGACATTCTCCTGATGTGAAAGGCTCTATGAATGCCATTTGTTGTTGCGTAAGAATTTGTGCAATGTTAGTTATGAAACTGCAAAGCTGATTTTGTCACAGTTGTACACTTTTAATGTCTATTTTAACCTCTGATTTTGTGAAGAAAAATAGATGGCTCAATTTTGGTAAAATATTTCCCAAAGGAATGTTTTTATTTTGTATCATACACCGACATGTCATTTATTCACTGGTTATTGGTTGATAAAGATGCAGTGGTTGCATTGAGGGCTTACGCACTACAGGATAGAATGTCAGAATATCTTGCGATTCAGAAACATTAAAATATTCCATATTTTGCTTCATATTTGTGCTTTATGAGATTTGATGCTCTCAATGCAGGGATTTTTGCTCTTCTCTATCAACAAAGCGCTTCGAGTCATCTCAAAAATGTGACAAGGTGCATTACTATTATTATAGGTGTATGTATTACAAATATACAGATTTGCAGGTTGTAGTCTGGGTTTGCGCTGTTTGATCTACGCCAGGGCAGCAGATGGGGGGCTTCAATTGATATCAGTGGCTTTTGTGTTGAGGAAGTAGAATTAGCCAGGATTCCTGCTTCTAATCTGTGTTTCTGTGTGTGTGGATGTCAGGTGAAGGGAGGATTATGCTCGACTCTGATGCTCCCTGTGGTGGAATAGTTTGTTAATGATCATAATCAAGGCTGAGTCATAGATCATAGTGACTTGGGAGGTATTGCCTGTTGAACCGTACCCAAGTAGAAGAGGAAACCTGTCTAAATGTCTTCAGGAGAAAATAACGTGCAAAAATGTGGTCAAAATAAAAATAATGCACCTGTATCCAGATGAACACCGAGGGTAAATGATGTGCTGCTGCTCTATCCATTCCAACTAATGTAACTTGGTGCTCACTGGTTGTACTCATCTACTGCAGATGTGCTGATTTTAACACTGGCTGAATTGGTGATTAGTGGCAGTATGCAGGGTTTGACTGATGTCCAAGGCAGCTTAGTTCATTTCCTCTCTGCTGTAATTATGTCTACTGCCTATTTCATGCATCGTTACACACATGAATACACCAGTTCCCACAGCACTGGAGATGGATGTTAATGTCTTCACTGACCTGCCTTCAGAATAATACCCTTGGCTCAAATCGGAATTACTTAGTGACCAGAACTATGTTGTTCAGTGGCTGCCAAACATGTACGTAAATCAGAACTAGCTAATATCTCTCACTTAAAATGGTTGTGAAACCTCTGGGTAATCCTGTGTGGTATAAACAAATACTGACTCTTGTTTCATGAGCAAGACTGTGCATGAATCATTGTTCCGGGAATGATTGTCAGCCAGGCTCAGGTGGTAGCACTCTTGTCTCTGGGTTAGAAGCTTGTTTAAGACCTATGTTGGGATTTTGAGCTCATGGTACAGGCTGACACTCCAGTGCAATACTGGGGGAGTGCCGTGTGGCCGAGGTGCCATCCTTCAAATGAGATGTTATCTCCCTTTGCAGGTGAACAGTAAAGATTTGAAGACGATAGGTGTCCTGACCAATCTTCCAGATAAAATTGATCATTCACTTCATGGCTGCTGTGGGCCATTGCTGTGTGCAGATTGGCTGCTGCTTTTGCTTACAAAATACAGTCACTACACTTCATAGAAAATCTCTGGAAGAAACGCTTTAAACAGTATAGGTGCTATATCAAACACCAGGTTGTGTTCTGCTACATACTGCCCCTACTTCTGGGGTAAATAAAAGTTCAGCCCCACTTTGGCATAAGCAGTTAACTGTGCATGGCTATGTTGCAACAAAAACATGCTTTTCTATGTAATGATTATGTGCTTGAACCCTTTCCAGCCACACAATCCAGGGCTACAGTAATCAGTATCCAGTCAGTGTCCAAATATGTTACGAACAATTTTTAAAATTATTTTCGAGCCTTGACCATTATTTTGTGCTAGAAAAATATCAGACAGAAGAGTCAACAAGCACAGGGCATATTTGTTCCCATGAGGGTTATATGCCTGTTGTCACTATCTAACACAATAGACATTCTGCACTAAATCTATTTTCCGATGTTCTGCTTTGCTGCAATGTGTAACTTATATTTAGAATGTGTATTAAGAAATCCTACACAAGCCGTTGTTATTTTTATGTGAGATTCATGCATTTTCCCACCTCCACTGTGTCCTAGAGTTACTTAACCCATTGAATGCCTCTTTAATCCCATATTTAATAGCTTGCTTAATTTCCTCAAATTGGCAACAGCTCCGTTCAAGAGCAAATTTAAAAATCAACAGAGAAGTGAATGCGGAATGCACGCAGAGAGTGCACTAACTGACCAGATTAGCTTGGCGTGAACAAGATCACCATTCACCATGTGCAGGCTTTCTGAGTCATTGTCCACCTATAAGCGCTAACTATTAGATGACATCTTGTTTATTGCTCCAAATTGTTTAGTTCTGTAAGTAGTGGCCTGATTTTCAATCTGTAAAGGTTTGCAGTGAGATACATGGCGAGACAGGTGATGTGTGCATCTTAATCACCACTTTATTAGTGGGTGCACTGAGCACTCGCCTCATAAACGAGCGATGTGGGTTTGAATCCCAGCAGGGTGAAATATTGGGCAAGTTTCCTTATTCCAGACGCCTCTGTTTACCTCGTGGTAAGTAGGAACCCGGTTGTTAGTCGATTGGCGGATCGCTTTTCCAGGGGTAATAATTCCTTCAAAAAAAAACTGGTCACTTCAATCCTGTTTGTAGGACACTGCTGTGCGCAATTGGCTGCCACGTTTCATCCATAAAATATACAGTCCATTCGCTTTACAGAATATTCTGTGAAGCGCTTTGAGAGGTCTCGAAGACATGATAAGGAGCTATATCAAATGCAAGGATTATTATTATGTGCGTTAAGTGTATTTTTTTCTTCTAAATAAAAACACTTCTGAGCTGTGTGATCCCAATACAATCCATTCAGTCGTTCTTCTCTGGGAAAATAATTCTTCAAACACTGAATGCATTTTACTAGATCAGATGGCTCAAGCTACCTAAACCTGTTTCCTGCGCTCCGTATAATAAGAGGCATTCCTATATTGATCCAAATGCTACTGGCTCCACTCAGCCTTTGAGGCCTACAGAACAATACTTTAGGA